TCCAAAGTTCTACATTTTGCCACTCCATTTAAATAATAAGATAGCGTTCAACTGTCTCCCTATTTGCCTACATAGAAGTGCTGTTATTGCTTTACATGCACATTACGGAAACAGTTACCAAAATACTTTCTTAATTCCTGCCCATTTGGAAAAAAAAAAACCAAACCAAAACCCAAATACAAAAAAACCCAAACAACTTTGGAACAAATTATTAGAAACCTTTTAAGTAAGGCTTATCCTGCAAGAAAGTTTTTTTTTAATTTAATTTGTGCAGAGAAGAATAAGTTTTAAAATTACCTCCAACATCTTGTATGGAGGTATCATTTCAGATGGTACAGGATTTCTTGTTTAGCAGAAAATGGTATAGTGAGATGGCAGAGACCAGAAACCGAAGTTAAAGAAATTAATGTTACACATATGTGAAGCAATTAACAATTGAAATAAGCTGATCTAAAGGCTTGTGAATTTTCCAGTTTTTAACATCTCAATTTAAAGACTGGATGTCTTTCTAAATTCATGCTCCAGCTGAACCAGAAGCTTGATGCAGGGATTATCGGATAATGCTCTACGGCTTGTGCTAAGAAGCAACTCAAATTAGCTGGAACATAACAGCTCCTTCTGTTCTTAAAATCTGTGAATCATCTAAGAACTTTTCCACTAAACCCACAAAAGATAAGAATGAAGACTGTAAATATTTCTGAGGAAAACAAAAAAAAAACCACAAACCAGCAAATATTCCGTCCAAAAAACCCACATACGTATTTGAGGATTTCAGCCATATCTTGAAAATATAAAGTACAGCTGATCTCTCAAGTCACTTGTATACAGAGAAATTTGCTAAAAAATTGTAATGCCAGTAGCATTTCTGGCACATCCCTCTCAAGCGCTGTTTTGTGCAGAGTCAGCCTCTCTCTTGCCTTTTCACCCACCAACCTCATTCCTCATTCTCACATTTCTTTTATCACTTCCCTTAATCATTCTGGGGTTTCAGTGATTTTTTTTTTCTTTTGATATTATCAGGCCTGGCTACAAGTGATCCTTCTATCTCACATTGTGAGGTAATTATGCATCCTTCCCTTGCAGACACAGCATGGGTGGTCAGGAGCGGAGT